TGTTCTAGGTGCTGGGGGTCCGGCAATGAGCAAGACAGACCAAGTCCTCTTTACGTGGAACTGGCATTCCATTCAGATGCCCATTGCTCATCCCTTCAGAGTCTGGTGACCAGTGTGTGGCTAGTTCCATCAACCAAAGGGCAGGAGATGGACTCCCATGTGTGGTACTGAGTGCCCCATGCAAGTGCAAAGACCCAGGAGCCACAGGGGCACTTAGGCCCAGGAGGGGGGATTGCCTGCTGCTCTTGCCAGCCCCACATCCTTGGGCTTTGTTTAATTTGGGTTCCCACAAGGGATCCTTCTAGCAGGGGCAAACTAGAGAGTCCACTCATCTGTAGGCCTCCACTCCATCTTGATAATTTGGGCTTACTTGTGCCAGCGGACCAAGAGGCAAGGAAATGGAATCGCCACACTGGCAGGGTAACGGACCTTGATCCCCAAGGAAAGCTAGGCATGGGACCAGGGAGGAGCCAGTCTCAGGACCAGGGGCTCTGCTGCTGTGCCCCTAGGTGCCTCCAAGATGACAGTAGCCATGGGCAGGGGATGGCGGCAAGCAGAGCTGGCGAGGACAGCACAACTAGGGCTCCGTCCCTCCCAGATGAAGGGCTAGGACCTCGCAGCCCAACGAGCAGACCCCTGGGAATGCTCATCTGGAGCTGTGAGGGGGGCGGAGGTCATGAGTGTCCACCGTGGCCTCAGTTCAGCGGCCATGGTGATGAACATTCTTGTTCTGAGAACTTGTGGAGCTTGCTGCTGACTGCCACCCTCCAGGAGACTGTGCAGCACATCACACTTCATCAAAGGCTCAAGCGGCTATGAGCCATGTGCCACCTGGACCATGTGGACACCCGCGCATCACGTCAGGGTCCTCAACCCAACCGCGACCACTGCCACCACAGCCCGTTGGCCCATGGCTTTGGCCACTTAGGACAGATACAACCAGATAGCACCTCGCCTTGGGCCCAGCCGGTGGTCTCTTGCTTCCTGTTCTGGAGCTTGTCTGAAGAGGAGGCTTGGATACCCGGTAGACGCTGTGTACTCACACTCTTACTCACCCAGCCTGGGGATGCAGGGGAGTCGACATCCACGGAGCTGATGTCTACCATGAGTGGGATGGATGAAGCCATCGATGCCCCCTTCATAAGACAGCCCAGAAGTTCCCAGAGGCTCAAGGGTGAGTGTTCTGTAGCAGTGACTGGCCTGATGAAGCATCTTGATGGGTTTTCCTTGGAATTTCATACCCAGTTGAGATGTCCGTGGGTGCCTCTTTGCCTCAAACTCTGCAGATGAGGAAACTGAAGCAGGCACGTGCCACTGTGGAAAGATGGACGGATTTAATCAAGACGGTAAGTATTATGAGGAACTAATACAGATGACATGCTAGGGTGTGCCTCTAGATCTGCGTTGTCCCATATGGTAGCCGTTAGCCCCTGTGACAATTTAAGTGTAAATGTGAATTAAATCAGGCTTAAAATTCAGCTCCTTGGTTGTACTATTCACATTTCAAGTGATCAATAGTCACATGGTGCTAGTTGCTGAGGGCCATTGCCAAGTAGGAATGATGCATCGAAATCCTTGCCAGCGTACCCCATGTTAAATGGACTTGCCTTGGAAATTTGCTGTGACCTTGTATGTGTGTTTGAGAAAGGTGACCCTGCTCAATGACCAGGGTGGATCCAGGATTAGGGTGTATCCTGCAGGTTTTAGGAAGTATCCGGGTTTAAGACAATTTGGGTTCAGGGCGTTCCGGTTTAAGATAGTCCGGGTTTAGGGAAGTTGCAGGTTGAAGGTTATTCCTGCTGGGAGTAGGGCGTGCCTGCTGCCTGAGTTCCCGCTGAGTTCTCCTGGAGAAAAAGTATTTGGGACGTGAATTGTGCGGGAGATTGGGGATTGCCCCAGAACGTGTTTGTAGACGGCCGGTGTGAGTTCGGGAATAAAGAATTGCTGTTTGAACCTACAAAGCTGTGTGGTGGCTCGTGGTTCAGTGCCAGCCAAGACACTGGCATTTGGTGGCCCGTACGGGAACGTCTGAAACTGGGAGTTGAGTAAAATTGTTCGCCCCTGAGGGAAGGCGAGAGAATGGGTGACCATTTCAAAAAACAATGTGTTCTTGTTTTGATTTATTTCGGTTTTGTTTCAAGCTGCCTATCCCTAGAAATTTCTCAGGCAAACTGGGAAAAATGGTTGGCTCAAGGTTTGAAGTTTGTTAGCCCCGAGAAAGAGAAAATTGATACAGCGAATTTTTATTCAGTTTTTGTTTCATTCAGTTGCGGTTTTGTTTTGTGTTATCTTATTGGGTTGCGTTATCTTTATAGAAGATTAGAAATTAGTAAAAGAGAAACCGAAAAGGTGTTAAGTAAATTGTTAGAGATTCAGACCATGGAGAAAGACATTTTAGATCAAGCAAAAGAGAAGGTCTCTCGAGCTAGTCAGAGAGAGGAAGAAAGGTCACCTTTTGGGGCAGGACAGATACAGAAGGTTTGGATATCACAGAAAGTCTTATTGGGCAGTGGACTTATTGTTCTGGACTGCTTGGCAACCCCTGATACTTTGCACTGGATTATAAATGCCCAAATAACAGAGTCCATATCTGTCCAGTTTTACTCTTCAGATCCAGCAAGTAGCACAGATCTCAGCACAGAGGCAGATATTGGTGCTGTTCACAGAAAGAAGGAAGGGAGGGAGAGATGGGGCAGGGTGCGTGCCAAGTAAGGGCTACGGCTGACAGCGCTTCCTGCGTGCCTGGCACCATCCTAGGCCCTCCCCTCGCAGCGCCTGCTGGGTTCTCCCCACCCTATGGCTGTTATCTGACTTCACAGAGGAGAAAAGAGGCCAGAGAAGTGAAGCAGCTTGTCCAGGGCATTCAGCCAGGGTCAAGCCCAGCAGATCACGCAGGCTCTTAGCCCTGCACTACCCAGAACAAGAGTAGAAGGGGGCCGGGCGGCTGGAGCTGTGTGTCCACACTTCCTGCCCTCTTTCTGGACCTGAGAGGCTCTGAGGACTTGCCATTGCCCTGGGCCAGCCCACACCAAGATCCAGCTCCAGGGTGGCGGCTGCTGATGGGGGAAGTCATTCTGCTGCCCGCAGAGGTCTCTCGGTGGATTCCACGGGCGCCCCACCCTTGATGTCAGCAGCACCAACATGTCCTTGTTAACTGCCCCCGGTTGACACAGCCTGGTTCCTCTGCATGGGATCTACAAGGTCCCCCACGCCCCAGGTGCTTGCAAGGAGCCAGGGTGGAAAATATGACTCGCTTCTTCCAGGAGCGTGGGATGGCGTTTCCATTGCGGATTTCCAAGGAATCCAGTGAAGTAGTGGAAAGACCTAGGGGGCGGGGCTTGGTCCTCCCCTGGCCCACTCTGGCCTTGGCCCCGCCCACCAGGGCCACGGTCTCCCTCTCCTCTGCTGGGAACCAGGGGCCCTGGGAGCAGGCCCCGGTCCAGCTCTGCCTCACCAAGCTGCCCAGGTGTTAGTCTCAGTGTTCTGGAGCTGGGGCCTTCTGAGAAACGGAGGCACCACGAAGACCCCCTTCAAACCCGGATTCTTGCAATCAGGTCATAAAGATTTCAGACATGTCATTCAGAGGAGCAGGAAACTGTTTATTGAAGGAATAAGGAAAAGGGAAAGGGGACACTCTCAAGGGAGAGAGCAGGTCCTCTCAGAGAAGGACAATGTGCCTCTCCTGCACCCCAGTTTTACTGGAGATCCCAGAGAAGTTTCCAGACAGTCCTTCCCTCTTGACTTTTGACTGACAGCAAGTCCCCACCGTCATGGCAACTCTAGATCCCCTTGACCCCTGCTGACTGGTTCTAACTGGATTCTTAACCATAGATTCTTACAGCTTTTATGGTTTAGGAGAAACTATCCTTATCTCCCAGAATGTTGAGATTTGGTCACAAAAGTCTCCTCCTTCAGGGTAACTCAAGTTCCTTTTATCAACATTATTTGGGGCCTGCTTTTCTCCTGCAGTGAAAGGTAGTTTGCTGAGGAATGTGACGTATCCTGTCCAATGAGGCCAGGTAGGGCTGCAGGTAAATTGCTTCTTGGAAGCAAGAGTGGAGGGAGTGAGCCCAGTGGGCCCATTTTATAGAATTATTCTCTTAACCGCACGTTCCCACCATTCATATCTGTCTGCTCGCTAAGGAGGAAGTGGCAAGGCACCTGCAGGGCTGGGAAGTCTGACTCTGCTGTGGCTCTGTGTCCTATCACAGTGTGTCCAATTTAAATGAATGGAACCTGCTAGAATCACCTGGTGTAGAAGCACCAGGGGAAGCCTCCACCCTGGCCATTTGCTTGCTGTTTCTTGTCTAGCTGGTCACATGACCGAGTCAGTCTCTGGGCTGGTAAGGGCAGATGCTGCAGTGCCCACGTCTGGGCCTGGCACAACCTTCTGAGCTCACTATAGCAACTCCTGGTCAGGCCCTGTCTTTTCTCTTTGAACAGCACTTGTGGGATTGAGACGACTCTGTGGACAAGCTGTGGTCCCTATAATGGGGAACCCTGGTGGCAGGAGCCATGGCACAACCACAGAGACCAATCCTGTGCAGCCTCTAAAGGGGACATTGGTGAAGGGGGTTACTAACAAGTGTTAGACCCTTTGAAAAAGTGGAGATGCTGGCCTGCGTTCACCTCAAGAAGACAGGCGGTGGGCGCGTCCCAGGGGGCGTAGCTCGCTCAGGGTAAGGCAGGGATCTGGGCAGCCTTAATTTTGTTACTGATGATCAAAGGACTTAAAAATCAATCTAACGTGGGACAGGAAGGGCAGGAGGGAGGGAGGGGCATGCACCTACATCCAAGGAAGGTGCGCCGGAGCGCGGTGCGCTGAGCTCGAGGAGGGTGAGCCGAGACCCCGCACCGCCACGTGCACACGCACACGCGCACGCGCGTGCACACTCGCCGTGCACCACGCCTGCGGCTCGGCATTGGCATTCCGCGCCGCGCCGCCGGTGCGTGCCCGCGTCGTTCCCAGCCCGCGGCGCGGAGCGGGGACAGTGGCGCATTGTTCGCCGGGACACCCCGGGCGGCGCAGCGCCCTCGGGGCTTGGCGCAGCCCCGCCGCGATTTGCATGCGCTCCAGTCACAAAGGTTCAAGGTCAGGAGCGCGGGGCGGCCAAGCCCCGCCCGGCCCAGGCGCTATTCTTCGCCCCGGCGGCGGGAACTCCTCTCCGCCCGCGCCCGGCCGCCCCTGCGCGTGAATGGCCGAGCGCCGCCGCCGTCTGAGGCGCTTTGTGTCTCGGCCCGGACAGCTGGGCCCGCGGAGGACGTGCCAGCTCGGCCGGCGGCGCCCCCGCGCCAGCGCCCCTCGCCCATGCTAATCAGCCTGGCAGCGCGACTGGGCGGGCGGCCCGGCCCGGAGCCCCTAGCGTCCCCTGCCAGGGCCCCTCCCACTGCTGCCAGGAGCCCCCCACAACTCTCGCCGCCAGGTGCCCTCCACCCCACTCCACCTCCAGCCTCCTGCAGGAGCCCTCTCCAGCTGCCAAGAGTGCTCCGTGGCCCGTGAGAACGGCGGACCCACGGTGCGGGACAGGGAAGAGGTTGGGCAGGGAGCCCCAGGGCTCTGACTGCACTCCTGGGACCCGCGGGGGCTTCTCCAGCCTCAGTCCCCTGAACTGTGAGGCAGGCTGCCGGCGGTGGCCTCCAGAAGCACTTCTGGAACTGGCTGTGTCTCCCAGCAGCCGCCTCCAGCCTGGTGACCCAGACACAAGGATACACCTGGGCTTGTCGTGGAGATGCGTTGACACAGCCTTTAGCGCTGGGAGCTATTCTCTGATCGCACCGCAGGGTCTTAACCCCGCCCACCCTGGTCACTCAAGTCAGGGTCACCTAACCTGGGCTTCCTTCTCAGGCAGGAACCTCTGAATTCCCACGGTACAGTAGCACTCAGGATATATTAATTAATTTCATAATTGGAGAAGCGGGTGCTAGCCACGGTGGCTTATTCTGTGGGCAATGGGGACAGGCCACTGTCTTTGGCATTACCAGTGATTGGAAAGAGACTCAGCCAGGAAGCAGGCCTTTCTTGGGAGGGCCCCACTGAGCCTCTGGGCTCCACTGTGTCCCAGGAATGTCCCCAATCCTGAGCCTCTGGAGAGGCCAGGAGCTGTGTTTCTGTACTAGCTGCAAACCAGCACCTGGTACCCCACCAAGGTGTCCAACAGGAGGTGTAGAGGCAAGGGATGCACGCCAGGCTCTAAGCAGGAAGTAGTGACCAGTGACTTTCCCTAGCAACCTCAGGAAGGAGAATGTAGACAGCAGTTCTTGGACATCTGGAATTCACAGGCTGGTCAAATTTCAAAGAAAAGATTGCAGACCTACAGAAAATTGCCAAATCTTATTTTTCCACATTAGGCTTTAGGAAATTAATTTTCTTTTCTTTTCATTCTTTTTTCTTTTTCTTTTTCTTTCTTTCTTTCTTTCTTTCTTTCTTTCTTTCTTTATTATTTCTGTGTATGTGTGTGTGTGAGTGTGTGTGTGTGTGTGTGTGTGTGTGTGTACCAGGGATTGAATCCACTGTGTGGTGGGCAAGTACCATTGAGCTCTGGCCACCCACAAGGAGGAGATGCATGGCCGGTGCCAGTTGAGAGCCTGCACAGAGGCTTATAGAATGTTCTACAGGAACCTCATCCTCCCTTCCAAGGACAGGCTGCGCTGTGCATGTTTTGCTGATGAGGATGGTGGGCACCATCAGGAATTGTAATGAAATCCTGTGCCCAGCCTCACCGAGGGCAGCTCAGCATGAAGAGAGACCTGAGGCCCAGAGAGAGCGAGGCAACTCTCACAAGGTCATACAGCCAATTAATGGCAAGGAGATGCAGGGAAGCAATTTCTCTTGGCGACATGCATTTGTATCTCATTCCAGCTTCCTTTTGCCTTCTAATCCCTCTTGTCAAGGGTGAAGTTGAAGCTGCCCTGTCTGCACCCGTTGGTGTGAACTAGCCTCTGACTGGCATTGCTCCGCTCCTCAATGCTCAGCAGCTTGCTCTGACTACCGTCCTGGACTTGCTCCTCATGATACAGCGACTCGACACCCTCTTGGGGCCTTGAGGAGACTGAGGCACAGTCCTTACTCTCAGGCAACTCAAGCCCAATGAGGCTCAAGACAAAGACGTGGACCTTGTACCAGAAGGCAGGTAGATCCAGCACCTGGGCAACAGCTCTTCAGCGCTGAGGGATCCATCCTGGAGAGCTTCCCAGAGGAGGTGGTGCTGAGCCAGCAGCCACAGCAGCTGTTTTTCCCAGGAGGAATAAATAGAGGAGCAGCTCTGAGCTTCCCCTTCAGAGGGACCAGCATGTAGGAGAAGGCAGGCAGCTCTCTCTGGCCTGAGGATGGTGTGTTGGGGATAGTTGGTGGCCAACCCTGGGGAATGGTGGGAGGAGGAAGGCTGGAGGGAGCCGGGGCCAACCTGCTGCCGTGCCCACTGTTAGGGAGGCCAGTGGAGGACCACTGTGGCCTGGGGGGGCTGAATGACAGGGGGTTTGGAGGGACAGAGCGCTGTGTGTCTCCATTGTGCCTGGCCTTCCTTGCTGTTGGTCAAGATGGACAGAGGGTGCCTCGGGTCAGCCCCAGATTTGGTGTAGATCCCCTGTGTCACTGGCCAAGTGTGTTGGCCACTGGAGTGTCGTGCAAGAGCCCCCTCCCTCTGGGGGTCCTGAAGGTGGGCTTTAGGGGCTGATGCTCATATGTCCTCTTCTTAGATGCATCCAACGTTGCTGCCCCTGCAACAGTGGACACTGCCCTTCAGGTGAGAGTGAAGAGCTTGTAGGCCTGGGGGAGACTGGAAGGCATTCCCCACGGCCCACGCTAGGCAGGCCCAGCCCTACAGCAAGCCAGGAGCTAGCAGCACTCAGAGGCCCCTGGGGGCACCTAGGAGTCCAGCCTTCCTCAGAGTCAGAGAACCGGGGTCCTGCAGAACTCGGAGCCCACTGTCTTGGGACTGCTCAACAAAGGGGAGAAGACAGGAGTCCACAGTGGACCAAAGGCCCCGGGCTTGGGCTCATGTCCCCACAGTTAGTTCCTGCTGCAGCAGGTCTCCCGCCAGGTAGAATAAGACACCTCTAGATAAAAAGCACTCCCACATGCTGTGGGTACTAGGCCAGTCTGTCTGCCCCCCTGAAAGGCCAACTGATAATATTCTAGAGCCTTAAAGAGCCAGCCCTCCGTGGAGTCACAGAGACTCTCCCAGGTGACCTGAGGGATTTGTGAGAGGTATACAGGAGATGTTCATCCCAGCACACCTGAACATCACCTGGGTGGCCCACGGCACAGAATTGGGCAAAGAAGGTGAATGCACAACGGCTGGCTTGGCCGTCACTGAAGTATGCTGAGACACTTCATGATGGGGGGGTCTTCACCGCGTGGAACACCACTTATGGCCACAGGGATTCAGGGCGCATCATGAGTAGAAGGGGAAGCTCCACAAATGCACCCCCGTGACCCCTGTGCTTTCTCTGAGTGATGATATGCCTTGGGTATTCTCTCATGGGTGCTGTTCCATGTTTGCAAAATTATCAACAATAAGCATGTATCATGCTTGCCAAGGAAGAGTGTGTGTGTGTGCGCGCGCGCATGCATCTGCCTGCTTCAGTGGCCCAGAATAGAAGACTAAGTTCAGCTAAAAAAGTGAAACCTGACATGGCCCAATTGCCCTGAGCAGGGGTCCTTAGAAGGACCCCTGTGGGCCATCTGGGCAGGGGTAACCAAGAGGGGCATTTTACTTGTATAGACCTCATCTCATCCAGCCATTCTTGAGACCAGAGTCTAAGAAAGATCTTTTTTTTTTTTCCCCAGAAATGTGTGTGTGTGTGTGTGTGTGTGTGTTAAAGCATACACACAACATCTACCCTCTCAGCAGCAACCATCACCTTATCCATCTCCACAAGGTTTTCATCATCCCAAACGGTGCAGCTGCCGTGGAAAGCTGCCTGGTGGCTCCTCAAGAAGCTAACGGAAGTGCCACGTGACCTGGGAGGTAATAATTCCCCTTCTCCTCTCTGCCCTCCACTGCGGGGTAGACCCTGCTCTACCTTCCTTTGAAGCTCACTCTTCTCCTGCAAGCCGACCTGACAGCAGGTGTCCTCTACATCTGGCTGATCTCACGGTATTTTCAGGGTTTGTCTCTGTGGCAGCAGGTGTGAGAACATCATCCATCTGTGGGGGACACTTGGGCTCTTCTCATTCCTGCCTCTCCTCTGCTGAGTAACGCATCTGTGAACATGAGTGTCAGTGCTCTGCTCTCGCTTCTTGGGGAATATAGGAGCAAGTGAGACTGCTGGGTCACGCGGCAGTTCCCTCAGTTCTTGAGGAGCCACCAGGCAGCTTTCCACGGTGGCTGCACTGTCTCACGTGCCCACCAGCCACTCGCAAGGATTCCTATTTCTCCTTATCCTTGCCAACACTTGCTTCTTCTTTTGAAACAATTTGTACAGTGGTTATCTTAGTAGGTGTGAGGTGCTATTTCATGATTTTGATTTGCACTTCCCTGGTGGCCAGTGATGTTAAGCATATTTTCATGTGTTTTATTGGCCATTTGTTATCTCCTTTGAGGAATTCATACCCTTGCCCATAATTATATTGGATATTTTGTGTGAGTTTTAGTTCTACATATAATCTGAACATGAGTTCTTTTTTTGTGTGGGGGGGAATAAAGTGTTTTGTTTCAAAAAACGTGTGAAAACACTCATTTATTACTTTTTTAAATTTAGACACATGTCTTCAAAAAGATGGGTACAAAAAGTATTAGTGTTTATATTTTTTGACACAGCAATTCCACGCCAAATGAATTTTCATGGACGGGCATGATGATTTAGTTGTGAGAATATTCATCACAAAAGGAGAAAGAAAGCAAGGGAGAGATGAAATTGGCAACATCAATATTCAATACTAGGGCTGAGGTTGTGGTTCAGCTGTAGAGTGCTTGCCTAGCATATGTGAGGCACTGGGTTTGATTCTTAACACCTCATATAAGTAAATAAAATAAAGGTCTATCAACAACTAAAAAAAATCTAAAAATCCAATAAAATGAGTTAATAAAATGGGCTCCACCCAACTCAGGGCTATGGATGATAACATATAACTTGGTAGGTGGACACTCCATAAGACCTTCACTTTACAGGAATGTACGAAGACAGCTTTACAAAGGAGTATTTACTGTATGATCTCATTTTTGTTTCAAACATACATATAAAAAAGGACGCCAAAATGTCGACACTGGTAATCTTGTATGATCAGGTTAATTTTCTTCAATTTTCCAAATTGTCTACAGTAATATGTGGTTAGGCAGGCAGGAAAAAATGTTCAGTTATTTTTAAGGGATCCACAAGTGTATGTACAATGTTATCTGATTATTTTTTTTAAAAATGTACACTATTTACAAAAAAGAGGACTCCGGAGGAACCTTGGTTAGTGAGCACCGGGAAAGCGTGTCCTTTTCTTACGGGGTACTCGCCTAGCTTTTGCAAATTCTCCACTGTCGGTTGTCTTAAGCTTTTAAAGACAAATATCTAATTTAAGTGAAAATCCAGGTTAAATGAGACCTCCGGTTTGCCAGCTAGCACAGGACATGCCCGGGCTCGGGTCGAGCCTGGCCGAGGCGCGAACGCGGGCTGCCGGAACCCCGCAAGCCCAACCCGGCCCGCGCCCTGGCTCCGCCCCGGCCGGCAAGACCCCACCCATGACCCGTCCCCAGCGACACGGCCCGCAGCGCCTCCGCGGAGCTTTCTGAGCAAGCCGCCCGAGGGCCCGCCCACGACCCGCCCCAGCCAGCAAGTCCCCGCCCCCAAGCGCCACCGCCCGATCGGCCACGCCCACTCGGCCGCGACTCGACTGGCGGCGGGGGAGGTCTGAAACCGCTGCCCAGAGGCCCCGCCCCCAGATCCGGCCCTGCCCCTGGGCTCCAGAGTTGCGTCCGCTCGCTCCGCCCCACCTCACCCTCGCCCGTGCTTCCGGAGCGGGCCGCGCAGAGGCCCCGCCCACTGCCTCGCGACGCCCCGCCCCTCCCAGGCGCTGCGTCCGCGCGTCGTTCCTCTCACTGACTTCCGGGGCGGGGCGGAAGTGTGGGCGGCGTGCCTGCTCCGCGGGCCCGACGCGGCCCGTCGCGGCTAGCGTGCCTCACCAGGTCGCTTGCGTGTCTGTCCCCGCCCGCCTCCAGGATACCAGGAACTGGGGACCGCGGCAGAGAGAGGGGACGGGCGAGAGATGGGGCTGTGACCCTCAAGGCGCTCCCGAGTCGTGGTCTCCGCCGTCGCCTTCCTGGGCAGGAGCGCGGTGGGCCCAGCGTCGAGGAGCGACGCAGACCCCTTTTGCTGCTGGCCGTGACTCAGCCCCAGCAGTGTGAGCTAGAGTCCGGGCGCGTGCCTCCGGGAAGGCTGAAGGCCCAGAGGTCATTGAAAACCACGTGCCGGGCAATCCTGGGCATACCCATGAACGTGTCCTGTGTTCCCCATGCCAGCACTGTCACCTACTGTCGTCATAAGGTCCCTTTCCACAGGTGAGGGGATCGAGACCAAGAGGGAGAAAAGGCACAGTTTGGGTTTGGACCCATTGAGCCGACCTGGCATCTAGAGTCTTTTCAGTGGGCATAGTTGCCTGCAGCTGTACCTTACCATAGCTTTTTGCAATTTCAACCCCAGCCGGGAGGCCCTCCTGCCCAGAGAAAGGATATCTTACCACATTATCACCAGCACTGGAGAGATTAAAATTTCAAGTGTTACCACTGAAATTGGCCATACACAGGCAGAGGCCTCAAATTTCTCTCCTACTGAATGTCTATCCCTTTAATACCATTGCAAAAAAAAAAAAAAGGTTTAAGTGGAAACATTTTTAAGTTGAGGTTCATCTGTACACTTTGCCTCCTGCTCAAAGGAAGAGAAGGGTTTCCTTTGTATGGTGTCTGAGGAGAAGGCATGAAGAAGTAGCTGATCCTGAGATGGCGGGCTGTGAGATCAAGCCTACTGGGCCAGTGACCCAGGAACCGAACTATATATGAGAGAAATCCCCAATACACACATGCCCTCTGTGTCGAAGAAATCAACCCATTGTACTCTGGAGACTGCATCTCCCATCTGTACCCACCCCTCTCCCTGGGATACACCAAGGGGCATTCAGATTTCACTGGCTTTCCAGGTTGTCTATGCTGGACATTGGCAGCAGACAGCACATGGGATGCCTGGCCCAGGCCTGGGGCCCAGCACAGCCTGTCTGCAGCAGTTCGGATTTTCTAGCCTCAAATGTCCCTTGGAGAGGAAGCTGCACATTGATTTTTTTTTTTTTTTTTTTGGCTCCATATTAAAGAACAAAGCATGGGAACTGGACAGGCCTCTCTGTAAACAGAAAACACATGTTTTCCAGAGAATGGTCTCTTCCTTTCTTGTTTAATCTCCTATACACAGAGGTCTCCTCCAGGATTCCTGACACTCGGGCCAACACCCACCTTCTTCATGGGGGTAATGAAGTGTTAGTGGATCTGCTCAGCAGTGAAGTGGGCCTGGAATGTGGTCCCAGAAAGGCAGCACCTGACGGGATTCAGTGAAGGCCTGAACCATTTATGTCCCCTACGGTCATGAGAGTTGTCCTGGGTTCTACACGTACTAGCTCCCAATGAATGAGTGTTCTTTGGGGCCTGCTAACTACATAAAGGCAGAGACTTCTCTAATCTGAGGAGGCTGAGACTTCACATCTACAAATAGGTATCCTGGGACTCACTATCCACTGCTATGTGGCTTCAGGCCAGTTTTTTTTTTTTTTTTAACCTCTCTGAGCCTCAGTCTTCTCATTTGTAAAATGGAGGTGACCATATTTTGTTGTTGAGGGTTAAATAAGATAGTAGGAATGGCCTGTCAAACAACTAGGAGCTAGTTTAATAAGCAGGCAAAATCAAACTCAGTTACAGTTTCAATGCTGAGCTATTTCTGAACTCTAGAAATTTGTAGAATGGCCTGGGAGCCCTCTATACAGCCCCAGGATTCCTGTACTCTGACAAGCACCTCCTTATCCCTTGTCTTCTGCTGGGAACTTCTATCCCCAGATCAGCTGTGGCACCTCTATGGAAGCAGCCTCCATAGGGTTATCTTCTTGAACGTCCTCAGCAGCCATCTGTGCCCTTGAGGGGATATTTGATGGCCCAGACATCCTTGGGCCAAGTCTGCTGAGAGTTTTGTGGAAGTCCAGCCCAGACCTCTTGTCTAGGGGCCGGGATGTGCAGAAACCATAAAGGGGAATTCCTTGTGGATCCTGGCTCTGAGGGCCATTTGGAAGAACATGGACTAAATCATCTCCTAGGTCGCCATGGGTGTCTGGGTGTGTGTGAAACCAGAGATATTTGCATGCTCCCAGAGTTGGCAGAGAGACCAGACCAAAGCCTCATTAACACAGGTTGCCTCAGCCCACAGTTGAGTTTCTTAGGAGAAACCTTTCCTCCTGGGAAAATTCTGATAGTGCGTTGTTCAGAAGATGATGGGTTTTTGAGGCTGGGTTTTACTCCTGGCCTATCCCTGACCAGCTGTGTGACCTCTGGCAGGCCCCTGGATCAGTTTGCCATTTCTCCATCTATGAGTGCTCCAAGGGACAGGCCAAGGCCACACAAGCGAGTATCCCCAACATGTCAGCAACCCTGCTCATTAGAAAAATTTGAAAAGTAATTGGCATTCTCAAAAGTTCTATTCATAACAACCAAAAATAAACTAAAAATCAGAAACAGTTGTCCATCGCTAAATATATAAGCTTCAGCAGGCTGCAGTGGACTGTCATAAAGCAATAAAAAGGACCAAGCTCTGGGTAGACAGAAGACACCAAGGAAGTGTGCCAAGCAAGTGTTCCTGCTCCACTCTCCAGTTAAGTTAAATGAAGGTTCAACTACTCAGCAAGGATAGGACTCAGGTGGCCTGGGGAGGAGCAAGGGGGTACTAGAGGACATTATGTGGGGTGCATGTGTCCTTTCTTAATAGAGATGGTGGCCACACAATTGTATATAATTGTCAGAAGTCATCCCTGGGAGCTGGGGATGTGTCGCAGCAGTTCAGCCCTTGCCTAGCATGCAGGAAGCCCTGGGTTCCACCCAGCACCACCACCAAAAAAAAAAAAATCCATGATGCAAATTAAAAGGGTCTTGCTATATGGAATTATATCTCAGTAAAATTGATTTTTAAAATTGATATTTAGCTTTTACTTTTCAAGTCTAGTAGAGAATATTTAATGACACAAAATGCTCACAATGTATCAAACAGAATGATTCTAAAATATAGTATGGTCTAACTGTTCCATAATTACATGTATACATCTGTAACCTATGGTGTGGTCTAATTATGTAAGTGTGTGTGTATACACATGAGAGTGTACACACACACACACACACACACACACACACACACACACACACACACACAGAATTTGGAAAATATACCAAAAGGACTTTTAGTAAAATATACCCAGTAATTACCTCATGGGTAATTTTTGTTTTCTTTTTTGTGCCTTTCTGTATTTCCAATTTTCCTTAATGAACACTTTTCTTGTTATGAACAAATTAAGTAAAACCAAGCGTATTTCTTTTTTTCCAGCTGTAGCAGGTTGGAGACATGGGCTGGGTTCCTGAACAGAACATGAAAGACACCCGGTTCCAGCGAAGGGAGGTGCCTGGCAAGGCCTCAGCAGGGAAGAGGGCCTGAGGGCGGCTCCCACCTCTCCTCTAGCTGGCTCAGTGCTGGCTCACTCTGGAGGGCTGACATGCCCTCTGGGGACTGCTGAGCTGCTGATGCTTGGAGGGGAAGGGTGGCCTGGAGGAGCATTGCTGGGGCCAGATCTTACTGTGGGTGCTGGGCCCTGCATGCCTGTCCTCTCGTGCTGCTACCCTGTACGTGGGGCTCAGAGCTCGGTTATCTTGGCCCCTGTG